CCAACCCTACACAGTTAACAGATTGAACACACTAAGCTACACAGTCGGAAGAGATAATAATTTAACCCCTAATTTGCCTCGGCGTGTTCTACATCTATATCCTCAATAAGATGCTTTAAACTAGGCCTAAGAATGCCTAGAATGGGATGAGGATGCAAGGATGTGCACAGAAAACAGTTCCGGAATTTCAGAAAAACAGATTCCCGCTTGAGCGCAGGTTTCCCCGCTCGAGCGGACATGCAACAAAGGTACACGCTCGAGCGTCAAATCCCCCGCTCGAGCGTACTGTAAAAGTACTAGATGGGTGGAATCTCCGCTCGACGGACGCTCGACGCCCGCTCGAGCGTGAGACACATGCCCCTGCTCGAGCGTCCAATCCTCCGCTCGAGCGGACTGTAAAACAGTGCAAAGATGCTGGATGCTCGAATTCCCTGCTCGAGCGCCACTTTCCCCGCTCGAGCAGGAGTGCAAAATCTGGAAATTCCAGATTGCACCTCCAAGCTCAAAACCAAGTTTAAATGCATCAAAACCAATCCTCTTGGGTTGAATTTCCAGAAAACACTTGTAAACATATAGAATGACATGATTCAAAGCTCAATTTGAGAAATCAAAGCTCAAGGGTGTTTAATTCAAACTCAATTTCAACCAATTTTCATAAACATGGAGAGCATGCAAACATGCATGAATTCAAACCAATTCAAAGCTTCAACTTCATGCTCCAGTGAGCCAAATCTTTCAAAAACATGATGAGTTCATGGTCTTTTGTAAAAATATGAGCATGCATGTACAATTTTATGAAAGACAACTTCAAAACTTCAAAATAAAGGCATGCATGCATGAGCTAGGCTCCAATTCAACATACATGGACCAATTCAAGGCTCAAATCACTAGAGGCTCAAGAACTAAGCATGAACAAGTTCAAATACATTAATAGAAGGTTAAATTCTCTTACCTAAGTTTAGAATTCTAGGCAAGGAAGCTCAATTATGCAAATTTAAACTTCAATCCCTTCAATTTCCAAGCAAATCTACAAGTGAGCTCAAGTTCTCACTCTCACTCTCTCTATGGTCGGTTGTGTGCAAGAAATAGGGGAAGAAATGTTTTGTTTGAGTGTATGAGAAGATCAGAAAGGTTCAAAGAGTTGGCCACTTAAGTGGCAAGATGGTAAATAAGGCCAATTATGCAATTTAACTCATTTTAATCTAATTTAATCATACCTAACCAGTTTTCAGATGATTATACCATAAAATCACATAAATCACGATGATCATAAAACACTAATCGGTTTTCGGTTCGGCCGCCGATAAGGCCTTCAATTAGCAGTTTAAGCATAAAAACTGAACAGATAATTAAACAGTCAACAGATAGACATACAGTTAAACAGATATACTTAGTCAATTCAATTCCATATTTCAGTTAGTCAGTTCAGTATTTCAATCAGTTCAATTATCAGTCTTAACCAGTTTCAGTTTAATGGTAATCAGTGGTCATTCGGTAAACAGTGGCGAGGGTTGTTACAGATAGAGATGAACATACGCGACACAGCTAAAGATGCGAGGAGCTAAGAGAACGATGGGAGGAAGAGAATAGTGATCTAAAAGTGCATCCAAGGGTCGTCTAAATGAGAGAACACTTGATGGGGGTACGGTTGTTTAGATAGACTGCGGAATTCAGAGCTTCACCCCACAAGTGAATAGGTACGTGTCCATTAATTAAAAAAGACCGAGTGACTGCCAATAAGTGTCCATTTTCCCGCTTGGCTACCTTATTCTGTTGGAGGGGTGTCAATGCAAGAAGTTTGGTGAAGAATCCCTACGGAGGCCATGAATTCTTGGAGATCCCGTTTTACATATTCTGTCCCATTATCGGTACGAAGGACTTTGATTTTGATGTCGTATTGAGTAGATACCATTTGATAAAACTGTTGAAAAACGGAAGAGACATCACTCTTTTATTTCAATTGATGGACCCAAACCATGCGTGTGCAATCATTAACAAACGTGACGAACCACCGCATTCCATTCAAAGTAGGTAGTGGGGCAGGCCCCCATACATCAGAATGAACTAATGCAAATGGAAAATTGGCTTTATTATTACTTAATGGGAAAAAAGTACGGTGGCTTTTGGTCAATACACAAGTTTCGCATAGAAAATCAGAAGCCTTACAGTCACTAAACAATGAGGGAAATAATCGCTGAAGATAGTAAAATGAAGGATGTCCTAATCGTCTATGCCATAGCCAAATCTCCGTTTTGTGCTTATTCACCAAATCCAAGTTGACGACATGAGCTTTTCCAGCCTTGTTGGTAGATAAAAAAACATTGTCCAGATAGTACAATCCTCTGCCTTGTTTACCACTGCCAATCCTCTCCTTGGTATGGATGTCCTAAAACAGACAGTGAGTAGGGGAAAATAGAATATCACAATGATGAGATTTGGTTAGTTGAGCAACAGAGAGAAGATGACAATTTAATGATGGCACAAATAAGACATTTGATATGGATAAGGTAGGGGATAGTTGGGCTGTACCAACCCCCAAAACTGGAGATGATACCCCATTAGCATTAATAATGGTAGATTTAGGACATTTGGAGGAAAACTGACTAAACCGATAGCGATCACACGTCATATGTTCTGTTGCACCAGAGTCAATTATCCAATCACTATTACTAGTAAATGTCATACCTGACTGAGTAGTAAATGCCGAAGTAGTAGTGAGATTTCCCTTCGTCTGAGATGCTTTCTTACTTCTGATGCCAATCTGGATAGCCATGGAGTTTGAAGCACGAGTCCACGGCATGCCCTGTACTGTTGCAGTGAGTGCACCACAGATCTTTCTTGGAAGTGGGAGCTTTGGGAGCCACCATGACAGTTGCTTCTCCTGACTTGTCCCTAATCTTTTCTCCAAGCATAGCTCCTTGACGATTAGCCTCTACACACACAGTGGCATAAACTGTATGTATGTTTAGAAGTGGTTTGGTAGTAAGAATACGACCTCGGACCCCATCTAATTGAGGATCAAGTCCAACCAAGAAAATATACACACGCTGAGAATTAACTTTCGTGGTATATTTCAAAATATCAGCGGAGCAGTCCATAGAGCATCCCTTAATAGCATCAAGTTCTTGCCATAATTTCTGTAACTTGCCAAAATAAGAGATAATCAAACCTCCATTTTGCTGGACAGAAAATACCTCGCAGTGTAATTGGTAAGCCATGGAAGCATCTTGTTCAACTGCATATGTAATTTGGACAGCCTCCTATATTTCCTTGGCCGTGGATAGCCGCAGAAACAGAGATCGGATTTCCTTCGTCATTGCATCAAGAAGCCAAGACTTGACCAAGTTATTTTCATCGTCCCATGCTTCATATTCTTCAGACTTAGTATCAGCTGGTGCAACCTTAACACCTGAGATATAACCCCAGCGTTTTCGCCCTTGGATCTTAATCTCAGTGTTCAAAGACCACTCCAAATAATTGGTGCCATCGAGCCGTTCTGGAGCAATGGGACCAATATAAGTAGATTCCTGTATATGGAATCTGGTATGCACAGAGGAGGATTCACTTGCTTTAAGAGGATCCTTGCCACTCTCAATCAACTCAGTCATGGTGATAACAACACTTGATCGGCAGCAGAAAGAGTATGAATCGAAGAGAACAACCAAACGTGAGTACAGATTGACCTTCAATTCCTAGTGAAAAACCTAGGAGATTGAACCTGGCTCTGATACCATGACAAAGAACACACGTTTGAGAATGATTCTCTTATAATATTTTATTCAATCGTTGATGTACAATATATACACTGTGTAATCTACACATGGTATATTGGATATTGATCTAATCTCCTAGTTATGGAATATCTCCTAATTATAGGATAACTGATAACAATATCTTCCAAGAATCATGGCATATCTTTGACTTAATTTCCAATAAGAATATACTTGACGCCATGGGTTACCAATCTCAACCGGCAGTTAATGTCTACTATCATATGTGAAATGATGTGCCATACACACCCTGATGTCGGTCCATACGTCAATGGATTTAGTGTTCGCTATGGGTCAGCGATTGAAATGTAATCTCACCAATGGTATCTCGCAGTTCTAGGGTTTAACAAAGACATGGATGTTAATTTCAAATGTAAAATTGAGGATCCAACACTACCAAAATTAAAACACACAAACATTCCAACACACAGAACCTTTTATATCATTTCCTTTCGTTTCGATCGATGAGGGAGGGGAAAACCAAAACCCTATTGGGATACACTAGTAATTTCCACATCACAAAAAGCTCCATATACCCCTCCCATTTGGCTTACATGCACTCAAAATGTGTACAAATGGGTCATTAACATTACATTGGGACTTATGAGTTTGAAAGATAAAATACAGGACTAATTAGTTCACAAATTCCTAACTTGAGATTTGTTAGTGCTTTACCCAAAAAAAACTAATTATTGAAAAAAATAATTTTTTATTTAAAAAATTTAAAAAATATTTTTTTATTTAAAATATTAGAAAAAGATATATTAATTTTTGCTAAAAATATATTCAGCTAGTATTTTAAAATTACTTTTAATTGTATATTTGGTTGGAATTTTTTTTGTTTGAAAACGGTCTAAAAAAAATAATTTCTATATTTAAAAAAGATAAAAAACAAATATAAATTTTTTACTTTTAAATAACAGTTTGTAATTGTAAAAAAAAAACTATTCTAGTCGACTGGCCGGACATTTGGGGGATGCCTAGACGTCCGTCAGGCGACCTGGTAGACCCAACTCGCAAATTCAAAATTTAAAAACTCTACTCTACCAAACATGCATTAGAATATATATTTAAATGTGACCTTAAAATCAATTTTTAAAAATTTAAATCAAACATAACATTCAAATATATACATGAAATTCTGATTCGAAACTTAAATCAAACAGATTTTTTAATATTAATTTAAAATGGGGTGGGCAAAAAGGTAAATTAAAAAAAACAGCACAGGGATGTGGTGTAAGAAAATATCAAAACAGGGGACTGTTGTAAGGCTAGTTTATAATTCAATCTTGGGGGCGGGAAGAGAAGTAAACTGCCCACCAACAACCTCTCTTTCTCTCTCTAAAACAATCCTTCCCTCCATGGCCCCCGGTTTTGCACCTTCTCTCTCTCCTCTATATATTCCCTCTATCCACCTCGCCCTTTTTCATCACAGCAACAACTTGATCCACCGACTCCTTCCGTATTTTCCACACCTTTTCCTGCAATCCAAACACTCATTTTTTCTCTTCATACCCATCTTCACAGATCTCTTACCAAGTCTTCATCCAACAAGAACAAATTTGGCCCAAGAATTGAACTGGGTTTTGGAATTTACATCAAATATGGTACATATAATTGTGTAGATTATAGAAAAAAAAAAAAGGCCTTTTGGATTTTGAGTAACTAGTTTTTTTGAGGATTTTGGTGGTGGGTCGATGACGATCGAAGCAAGGTTGGTAGATCAGAGAAGAGACACGAATGTTGGGCATGTTGCTAAGATCATTAGGAAGAAGAAATTTCATAGAAGGACCAAGAGGCCAACAGGTCTGCAGAGGCTGTTCGTGTCTTGCAAGGAGGTGTTCAGAGGCCATGGGATTGTTCCTTCTCCGAGTGATGTGCAAAAGTTGTGCCATATTTTAGGTGAGTTTGATTTTGAAATCACAATCATTTATTTGGATTGGATATTTATGGATTGTTTTGTATTGTTGTTGTTATGTTTTAGATATGTATGTGTATCTCTGTGTGTTTATGTTCATTTATTACAATTTAAATTGTTGGTTTTATGGTTGATCTTGTAATTTGACATAATGGGTTGAACATTGATTGTGAAGTAGTTGTTTTGCCAAATTGCCGGTGTTTTCGCGTTGTTCTTACGGAAGTGAGATATTTCTAGGGCTTTAGAATTATCTAGGAAAAAAATTGTGAGAAAGAAAGTTGCTTCATATACAGTGTTTCCCATACAAATAAGTGCTAAAAGTGGAAACATTGGTCAAATATCATTAAATTAAAAAAAGTTCCTAAATTTCCCAAAAAAATTCATTTGATTTGAAACAGGTGAACGTAATCATAAAATGATTTTGATTTTGTAGTGTTTGGATTTGTTTAGAGGTGGATTTACCCAAAATAGAAAGGTTTTTGAGAATCCATATTGTGACCGTTGAAACAGCTTCTTTTTCATTCCTTTTGTAAGGAAACCAGTTATATGCCATCATACATTGAGATAAAAAATAAAGGTTTTTGAATCTGTATTGTGACCGTTGAAACAGCTTCCTTTTCATTTCTTTTGCAAGGAAACCAGTTGTATGTGATCATATGCTGCGATAATTTAGGCTCATGTAATTTAATGCCAGTTGTTTTAGCATTTGGGTCAAAATTTAGCATTGGCTCGGGAAAGTTAAGGTGTGCATTTGCATGAAACAAACCTATTTGTCGTCCAAATGCCCCATATAATTGATCGTGACCAGTTTTGCATTACCCAGAATTGAGTGGTTGATTTCTGACTATAGTGTGTTGTAACATGTTTTATTTTTTTTCTCTTTTTGAATTGTGTGTCATTGTAAAATGAGGTTGTACGTTTACGATTGTTTGTTTCTTTTCTAGACTTAATCATTTTCTGCTTGTCCATGATCTTATTGGGTATGTAGTAATACTTCCAGGTTGTCTTAAATGCATTGCCGAATGGGATTAAAAGCCGACATTCCCGGGTGGGGTGGTGGTGGGGTGGTTATGTGAATGCTGCTTTGCTTAATTATCTCTTTTTCACATCGGAGCAAACACATATATAATTGCCATGCCGGCAAACTAGCTTTTTCACTGTTTGATCATATGTTTGTGTTTAATTAGAGTAGTTACTTGCTGGATTGTCGATTGAGTAGTTTCAACCTTGGGATTATAGAAAAAATAAAAGGGGACTTATGTGGACTTATTATCCAATATGGCTTAGGATAATTAATGATATTTTTCATCAAATATTATTAAAAAATGTCATTAATTTTTAATTTTCAGCAATAGATTAAAATTTTTATCACAAAAAATGTTACTAATTATAAGTTTTAGTAACAGTTTAAAAAAATCATTACAAAAAAAAAATCACCAATTTTTAACTTTCAACAATAGTTTGACAAATTCGTCACAAAAATTCATTAATTGTAAGTTTTAGGGACAATTTATAGCAACCGTGACCAAAAAAAAATAAAATTACTGATTGTTAATTTTTAGCGAAAATTGCAAAAAATCGTTACAAAAAATTATCTTTAGCGACAATTTTGTTAGGACTTATTTTCAATAGTACTTGATAGAAATTAAGTCAAATTATTAAGACCTATTGATAGTTTATTGAAAAATAAATAAGATCTCTCACTACCGTCCTCTTTAGTGCTCAATTTTGAAACAGTAAAGGTAAAGCATCTTCTATGGACATGGAATTAGCATCCATTGAGCTAGTTACTTAGAGCCCCATTAAAAAGTGAATTATTTGTTGAGGACGGTTCATTACTAACAAAACTACGAAATATAATTTTACAAAACAATGGATCATAAGATGGTAAAGGAAAATGTTATACAAACAAACAGATCTTACAAATTTTCTTTATTAATTGATGTATCGTGCAATAAAAAACTCATGGAACTGGGGCCAGAGCTATAGTATACTGAGTGGTGTCAATTTTTCTTAGAGTAAATGTCAACTTTATCCAAAATGTTTGGAATTTTACAAATTGACCCAGTAAAATTAGTTAAAGAAAAGAAAATTGTTATTCATATTTTACTTTATTATAAATATGTTCTAAAAATTTGTCTTTTTAGTGTTTAAAATTACACATATATGATTCTTAATGAACATTAAAATATAATTTTCTAGAAAAAATTTATAAAGAATTGTAGTGAAAACAATAATTACATTTGTCATGCTCATTAATTCTACTTATAACAAATAAAATTGTGAAAATATATTTTATTTTGATGCAATTCATAAAAAAAACCCCAATATGTGATGGCCCAACGGTTGTGTAGTACCATTTTGTGGTGTGAGATTGTGGGTTCAACTTCTATGGTGATGAGTTTGAATTATTCGTGGTGTTTATTTCTCCTTTATCCCTTCCCCATTATATAGCGATTTCAAAAAATGAAAACTTGTGGACAATTGTCTTAGCTTAGATCCTTGCTTAATTTTGTTGAAGATGTGATTAGAAATATGTAAAATTATAGTGTAAAATTTGATTTTGATATAAATTGTGTAGAATTTATATTGACATAATGATCATGGTGATACTTGTTAAATGACACCACTAAATTAAAATCTTGGCTATGCCACCGCCTGGAACTTAAACCAAGGTCCACCTCAATAATGCGAAATTGTAAAATTGTTATTTTATATAGCATTACTAGATCGTAGATGTTCTTGAATTGAGAGTTGATCCTGGTATGGTTCTTGCATCTAAAACACTGACTGTCGTGCTGAATGATTCACCTTGATGTCAATGAAATATATACCTAGAGCCTTAGAGGCCAAGGAAGGTGTTGAAAACATGCTAGTCCATGTCATTTAGAAGACGTTGACTTTTGGACAGATGTTTTGATTTTTAAAGTATGGGGTCCATTTTTATTGGAATTGATATACCTAATAAGTCCTATAAAATACTAATATGGCTAGATGTGCTTACTATGGACACAGGTGCATGTTCATGTTTATGCACGCATCTTTATATATTCATCATACTTAATTGCAACTTGTCATTGGTTTGTTATTTTCAAGAATTGGTCTTTTCTATAACTAGCCTTTTATTTGTTTTAGATGGTATGATTCCAGAAGATGTGGGGCTAAGTAGGGATTTGCAATTCTTCAAGCCTAAAAATCCCGTCAAAGGGACCCCAAGAGTCACATGCACAACCATATACCAGTGCGAGAACTTTTCGGTAAGATTAAGCTTTTTTCATCGTAGTGTGCTTTATCATTGTTGAAAAGTTTTAAGTGCACAAAATCCAATTACAGAACGGGACGTAACCCTCTCACACAGGATATGGGCCCCATCCCATGTGAGGATTGTGTTTGGTTTTGTAATTGGATTTTGTGCACGTAGAAGAGTTGATCATAGTTTGACCAAATGAAATTTGCAGACTGTCCATTTGATGTATTTACAGTCATATGCTCTGCATCATTATGCAGACTTTCATATAAGTTCAATTAATACTCAAGATTCAGGCCAAGTGATTGATCCACTTTTGGTTTTATAATGCCCTGCAGTTGTGTATGTTTTTTCTTCCTGCAACTGCTGTCATTCCCCTTCATAATCACCCTGGGATGACTGTTTTCAGCAAGCTTTTGCGGGGAACCATGCACATTAAGGCATATGATTGGGTGGATCCTGTCAATTCAGATGACTCTGTGCAACCCTCTCAACGTGAGTGGGTCTCTCTCTCTCTCTCTCTCTCTCCCCTAAAACTGATTATGGGTGTTTGACTTAAATAAGATGGTTTTGCAGCAAGATTGGCAAGGTTGAAAGCCGATAGTGTCTTCACAGCACCATGTGACACGTCTGTATTATATCCAACATCAGGAGGCAATATCCATGCCTTTACAGCTATTACACCATGTGTAGTGCTGGATGTGATGGGACCTCCATATTCTAAAGACGATGGCCGAGATTGCTCATACTATAGAGACACTCCCTACAATGCTTTATCAAGTAAGCAACTTGTCCTTATCCTCCATTGTGGCTTGTGTTGTGGTACAATTGTTACCTCACTAGTGTCTAATGATTAACCATATTAGTAACCATGCTTAGTTCTAAAATTTAGGCTTGGTGGGCTATGAGGAACGGTGCTAGATAGTAGGTGATGAATAGGCACTATTGGAATAGTTGACCTGAATAATCTTCCCAAAAAGTCGGCTGTTTTTGTTTGTAATACAAAACTAATGAATTATCCTACTATTTTCTATTAGGTCACTTTGCTTTTATCATGTGTAGACGAATAACTTATCTTTTTGACTTCAGAATGTAGATTCTCTCCACTTCATGATCAATGGTTGTGAAACATTCACATCAGCAAATCTTTATTTTAGATTTTAAAATGGATAATAAAAGTTTTGAAACTGTTGATTTTGGATTTTGATGATGTGTTCCAACCTCATAAAATGAAATGGAGAGGATACAAGTCTTCGAATGACTGAACCTAAATCTAGACCTGAATTACATAGCTCATACCCATATTGTCCTTTCATTCTACCCTGTTTCATATTTCATATAATCATGAAGTGTTTTATCCATTACTATTAGCCCTCTTCTTGTAAGACCATATTCCGAGTTGAGTTGAGAACTGCAATGGCTTCCAAATCACTGGTTTCTATGTATGCATATATTTGGACTTGTAAAATGCAGTGAAACATTCCTTGTTTGATGATCAAATTAACTCCTATTTTTATTTACTACTATTTACAGTTAACAAATTTTAGATTTATCTAGATTGTGCCGGTTGGTGACTCTTTAATTGCTTGGTTACAGATGGAGAAAAAAATACAGTAGCAAAGGAAGGAGTTGGTGACTCTTATGGATGGCTGGAAGAGATTGAGATGCCGGAGGACTCCCAGATGGACGGAATCGAGTACTTGGGTCCACCAATTTCTGAATTTACTTCCTAGCTATCTAATTAAGGGTAGGCATACATCAAAATCTGAATCTTTTTTTTTGTTTTTGGGTTTAGTTTGCAACTTTTTTTTGGTTCTTTTGATTTCGTCTTTGTGGTGTTCATTTTGTTTTTATATGTGAATGGAAGGTCGCTGTGTAGATGGAAGAAAGAAATTTTCGAAGAAATTTTCTTAGTTTTATACTCTGGTATATGTATATATAACATGGTTTTGACATTTTAGTAAGAAACTGGGTGTACCAGTTATGTAGTTTACAAATTCACAACGACTACTGTGTACAGTGTGTATGAACTGTGAGATTGGTCTGAGTTTTAAGGCTGTGTTTGGATCATGTAGGGAATTGGAAGGGGAAACAAAAGGAAAAATATGTGAAATGTTAATGAAATATAATTATATTTCTCTTACATTTCACACATTTTTTTCATTTTTATTTTTAAATCCTTACTGAAATTAATATTCCAAACATAGTCTAAGCGGTCATTGATTATAATGGAAAATTTGGTCTGAGCAACAGTGTATGTTTTTCCTTATGTATTCATGTGATAACGTTGTCCAGAAAATTGAAAAACTAAAAAAGGAAAGAGTTGCAAAGTTCAGAGGGAGAAACTTAGCTAAATTCTTCTGTAAAATTTTGATTCTCTTGTCATTTGATCATGTTAGTTTTTTGTTTACAAAACTGGTAGCAAGAAGTTGTTTTTCAATAATATAAAAATGTAAAAAAACAAAAATAAAAAACTTGTTTGTTGTATATAAATATTTTCAAAAAAATAAATAAAAGTATCGTTTTTAGTGAATTGTTGGAGGTGGAGGGTGGTCAGAGGTTGCCGATGGCGGCGGCCGGTGGATGGTGGAATAATGAAATCTATTATTTATTTAAATAGCATTAGGCATAAAGTGGTGGATGGTGGAATAATGAAATCTATTATTTATTTAAATAGCATTAGGCATAAAGTGTTGGAGGTGGAGGGTGGTCGGAGGTTGCCGATGGCGGCGGCCGGTGGATGGTGGAATAGTGAAATCTATTATTTATTTAAATAGCATTAGGCATAAAGAGTAATTCTATTTGTAGGGGTAGAAAATATTCGTCGCCTTCTGTATTCTTTGTTACCAGGCTGGAATCGTTCCAATAGAATTCCGTCTCATTGCAAACAAACAAGGGTGAATTACCTAGCGGGTGGGTTACTGGAAAACCCCTCCGACGGTTAAGTTAGCTTTCTTGGGAGAGAAGAGAGAATACAGAGCACTGTAGAGAGAGAGAGAGAGTGGCCAAAAGTTGCTTACTCTCTGAGTCTGCTCGCGCCACCTTCTGTAGGCTGGCCATGCAGCCCCAGATTGTGTGCGCACTACCTCTGTTGTCCTTTGCTAGACGTGTGGCTGTACTGCCTTCTCCATTCCTTACACGTGTATATGTATGAACTGCCAAACAACGTTGGTTAAACTGCCAAACGGTATTGACGCACACCAGAGCAGTTTCCTCCGCATTGGCCCACGTGGAATACCAAACCGCTTATTACTTGGGTTGCACCAAAGACATTGCCTTTAAACACACTAATGCTGAGCTAAGCTAGGCCGGCCTTTGAGTCACAGTCGCGCTCGGTCAATACTTTGGCGGCCTTTCCTCAGGCCGGTCAGCAATGGGCGCGTAATTAGTCATCTTGGCTGAATAGCGCGACACTGCACCATGCCTAACCAGGCCAATGTTGTCACATTGCCATGACCTCTGCAACTGCGGTGCTAAAAGATGGCCTGGTTCAGGATCAGGGTTCGTGCTAAGGTAGCTCGATTGAGATAGCCTGCCACAACACCAACTTCGTGCTGGCATAGCTCGGCTCAACACTACATTCCATGTTCTTTTTGCATGGCCCAATACCTTATTTCGTGTTGGTACAGCTCGGCCCACCATTCGGCACAAATCTCCCTCTTAATTGCCCCTTAATCCCTTCTGAGTTGAGCGTGATTGGGATTATCCTCTCTGGTCGAGCAGTTAATTCTGGCCGGCTCTAGAGACTTGTGCCCGTCGTTCTGTCACCCATCAGTCGACCATACTGACAACCCATCATGTTTGTGACACGTGGCGTTCCCCAGATGGCCCCGTACAACCCCCATAGCTGTTATCATCATGCCAAAAATTTGAAAGGTTGGTGCCCTTTGGGTTTTCGCCCATAAATAGACAATATATATGCCTTTCTCATCTATTACACTGTTCATCTTCTTCTTCGAGTAAAACCGTAGCTTTGTCGGAGCTCGCACCGCTGTCGCTGTTCCGTGCGCTCTAGGCCATCCATTTTGTACCAGTCGATTTGTCAACCTCTACTGAAGCCCGTTTTCTGATTAGAACGAAGCTCTAAGCCATCCCCCGTAAGTTTTTCAAACCTTTTCATTCTATCTCTTACGTATTGTTTGTGTTCTTCATTTTCCTTTACTTTTGGACTATTTAATCCCCGTAAGTGCGCCCTTCTAGTGATGAAAACGGTAGGCACTTTGGTGAAACTAGGAAAATCAAACCTAACCACAGATAAGGGGCTTTCGAGCCCGTCCATTTTCCATGCGTCGGTGTGTATTATGATGTTTTCGGATGAACAACATCGATTCTAGACAGGATCGAGCAAAAGTTTGGCTTTTGTTCCAGAAACTGATTCCAACCGGGCTAAAATATGTTTGTGATCCCTTTGAGTGATTCACATCGCACTAAAGATCCGTAGGAGCACTGAACCGAGATAGATGGACAATTTGTAGGACTAAGGTCCAGAACCGGCCTAACACCCTAGGCTTTATGACCGAGCAACAAACAAGCTTCGATAATTAAAAGCCGAGCTAGATTTTTATAACCGTGCACTTGCTGTCGTGATAACACTTGCCCTTTATTTGTTGATGTATTTATGTTGTATCTGTTGGGGGCGTTACAATGATGCTCATACTTGTATGAAAATTATTGTCTTGATAAATTATTCTAACCTTAACATTTAACACAATGGGAAACTTAATTAGGGTGGTAATTGGGTTTCGATCAGATGAATTGTATCATGAGAAAATGTTGTGTTTACATGGAATTGATGGTGGGATGTGTTTCCTAAGCTAGCTAAATCTTGCGCAAGTATGTCACGGTACCCTAACATGGAACGAGGCGTATTCTGACTGTCTACGAATTTGGTTATGGAATAAGGGTGGCAGTGAGGGTCTCACACAGGGCTTGTGTCCCTAGAAGGCCGTTGCTCCTTGGTAGACCATTGATGTTACAACTCGAGTACATAATTCAGGGCGTAGACATCCTTGGTGTTTATCCTGGTATAGGGCCAAGGGGAGGTTCGAATAGCTTTGTGTTCTATTACTTAATGGTTGGGTAGGAATGGCAAATTCCATGGGGAATCACCTAGAACTTACTTAATGAATGGCTAACCTTGGAAATGAAACCTATTATAAGCTCTGTTCGATCTTTACTACTGCTGCATGTTATCTGTATGCTTATATTAAGACTGTGTATTGGATTGGGAAAAAAGGGTGGGGTGTGTGTGCGTTTACTGAGAATTCAAAGCTCATGGCGTTTCATGCCAAGTATTGAAGATTATTACTAGGTCAAAGGCAAAGCTGAAGCATTTGAAGATGTATGGCTACCCTAGGAGAAATAGAAATTAGTTTTGTAAACGTATTAGTGTTAAATCTCCTGTTGTATTTAAGACATGATTTTATAATTATTATTTTATAAATCTTTTGTATTACCTATCCCTTATATTCTCATCGACTGATGAGGACCTTGTGTTAATATCTAGTTAAGATCTGTTAAAAAAGTAGCTTTGCTATCTAAGATGATTAGACTTAGAAAGGAGGCTATATTGACTCCTCCAACCTTCCTGGGATTTTACTTGGTCAATATTGACCAAAGGACTCATTAGTGACGTTTCCTACGCTTTCAACCTTAGAAAAACTCTATAATTATTTGTTAATGTATTCCTTAATGTTCTCGAATTTTTGAGGCGTCATAGTGGTAGCAGTAGTGGTGGCGGCGATTGCAGTGGCATGATGCTAGTGGTGGTGGTAATAGTAGTAGTAATAGTGGTGGTGGCAGTGGTTGAGTTTATAATAGTGTACATCTAGGCTTATATTTAGTATTTATAAATTCAGTCAAAATTAAATAAGTTATATATCACTTAAAATTTTCTTAACTTTTAGTTTATATTTTAAGAGACACTTAAATTTTTAAGTAATATCAATTATAATTACCAAACGAGTTTAATTAAGAGAGATTTACCAATAAGTCCCATATTTTGAACTTATAATCCATATAGTCTTATATTTTTTTTTTCTTGTGATTCATTTAGTCCTTTTGGATGTGTAATGACTTATTTGCTTGTCACATTGGAGTGTCACATTTGGAAAAAATATACTAAAGAATTTTTTAGTGTCAGATCATACCAGCCACGTTAGAGTGTCACATTTGGGAAAAGTACACTAAAGAGTTTTTAATTTTTTTAGAATATCACTTAATATATTTAATTTTAACTACTAAATTAAATTTTCAAATATCACCTTATTTTTCCAAAAATTATGTTCTTCCAATAGGTTTAAAAATTATGTTTTCTAACTTATTTTTGTTTTTAAAAATATAGTTTGAGTCAAAATTGAGGCGTGACACTTTTCTTTGTTTATGAACACTTAGGTTACAAAATAATGTTTTCTAACTTAAAAAATTATCATTATTATTATTTTCTAAATAGTAGTTTACTTGAAATTATGCTTTTACTTGCAATTATGCTTTTATAAACATTAGATTATATGCCATTTTTTTAAGAGGAAATATCATTTTACCTCTCAAACTATTATGCGAAAATCAATTTGGCACCCAGATTTTGTATTATTTTAATTTGACACCTAATTTTTTTAAAATATGATCAATTTACACCTGCTGTCTGTTTCCGTTTACAATCAAACAGAATGTGTTGAGTTGTCCCCCTAAACTATTATTTGGAGTGAAAGTAAAGGCTTTCCCGCTATTTCCAGTCATTACCCTTCAGATATTTAATACAGAAATAGAGAAAAGAAAACAAAACATGTTTGCCTCAGAGTTTGAGAGAGAAAATGAGGAACAATCGAGGGTCAAGAAATCAGGAAAGAAGGAAGTCAATTGAAAGAAGATGGACCTCAAGTGGCATGGAAGACGTGGCGCGTCTTTTGTGGACGACGAAGGATGATACAAACATCATGGACTGATGCAATCCTGATAGGAGGTTTCTCAACTATCCCAATAGTGGTTGAAATCACTTCACCTGG